AAAACGACCAGAAGGAAATTCTATGAATTTACGAGTCAATGAAAAGTGAAAATGAATCCCGCACGAGGATCTAGGCTCCAGATGGGACATTTTGCAATAACTTTCGTTAATTACACAATGGCCCCTACAAAAAGGGTTAACTGCGAAACTGCCCCAGAATGAAAATATCTTCCAAAAGATATTTTCTTAGATACCACTAACATAAAATATCTTCAAAAGATATTTATGAAAAACACCCCAAGAAATAAAAAAGATTTTGAAAAACTGTGCATCCATGCCCCTATGAACACCGGGAGCAATCAGAGTACTTTTTTGCAAAAGTAAAGATACGTATTTCAACAAAACCATTGAAGATAAAGGCACGTGAAGTCAAAAACTAACTCCGAGCATGAAAGTGAGGTTTTGCCAACAAAGTGACAAATGGGGAAAAGACATAATAGGGAAAAGGACGAAATAGGAAAAAAGACAAAAGTGAAGTGTCTCGAAAAGTGAAAATGCGGAAATGACTCGGTCCTCGAATGAAGTTGTCAATCCGAACAAAAGAGTCTCGGAAGTCAATTCTGAACACTCGAGATGACACTAAATGACAAGAAACAGATCTCAGAAAAGAGAATTAAACGGAAAAAATTTATCCGTAAAATTTCAGGAAAAAGGAAAGGAAGGTAAATGATCGGGTCATTACAGCACCAGAAAATCAGATTTGACGCGGGGTTTTCAAGACCGAGACGACATTTTTTGGAAAAAGGTTGTGAAGAAACCTCCCATAAAATCACGTTTTCTAAGTGACCATGTCCAGGCTGAAGCTTATTTTTTGAAGGAAATACCCTAAAAGTCCCTTAAACCAGATTTTGCGAAAAGCGTGAAAATAAGAGCAACCAAGTGTTCATGTCATGCAATAAGGTGTTGTGTGCCATAGCGATTGTGCACACAAACGTAAAATGCATAATTAAGTGCGCTAGAATGGTCCATGACATCAAAATACGCCTAATGCAATATAAGACCTATCAAACCTCAAGTTTACATGCTTTTAAAGGAAAACATGAAACCAAAAGTATACAAATGGAAGCAAAAGATGTTTTGACCCTTGGTCACACGTCATACATATATAAAGGGTCATAAAGAGTGTGCTTTTGCACACTTTACATAATCCAAATTGAAAACGACATACTAAAACCTCGAATTTTTTAATATTGCCTTTAAAGAAAAATTTCAATACTAAAATATATAAATTTGAACAAAATGGTGTTTGGCCCTTGGCCACACCTCATACATATTAAATAAGGCTCAAAGAGTGTATCTAGTACACTTAATTATATGTTTCAAAATAAAAACGACTTATTGAGCTAATGGAAGTATTACAACTTCAAAGGGCTAAAAGTAAACATGCTAACACTTGTATGTACTTAAAACCAAGCCATTCTAGGGATATTATGCATCCCAAAGCAAAGTCTTCACACCTGAAAAAATATCCCAAACTACTAGGGGGAGTAAACTAGTTATTTGTAGGAAATGAATATACATATAACCTAAAGTTTTAATAGTTTTGCGAGTTTAGTATAAGTCAATTCATGTGGTTCATACCACCTAACGTCTATGTCTAAGGTGAGACTAAAGGAGCATCCTAAGCTACCGTAAAACATTTCTAGCATAAACCACAATATTTACCCAATTTAACATAATTGGAACATCCAATACAACACATAAAGTTATAAATACTCAAAATTATTAACTTGGAAACGAAATTGCGAAATCAACCAAAGTGGAAATATCTTGGACCTAGAATTCAGAATAAAACTGAGATGTTGGTGATTTTGGGTTACTAACCCTCAAGGTACCACTTTGTGCGTACTATAAATAGTGAGAACTCCTATATCCCGTACTAAAGCCAAGCTTTAGCCGTCAAAAGAGTAATGTCCTAAGTTTTTCCAAAATCAACAAGTTGTGCAACAAGGTATATCATATATACTCAAAGCACATAGTTAAATACCATGCACAACCAAGTCATGGAAATTACACAAGATATGCCCTAGGCCCTCAAGCTACACTGGCACATTAAATGTCAAATATATAATGTGTACACCAACAAGCCACACTATGATATCAATTCATAAAATACCATCATGTAAGTATACTACAAGTTCCAAATTTATAACTTAAGCATGAATACATCATCAATATCTAATTAAATCAATGGAAACAACTAAATAGAATTTAATTAAATTAAATAATTAAATTCTGTAGATTTCAAATCAATTCCAAATAGCTTCAAATTAATATATGTCAAAGATCATATCATGGTTATTACATATACCATATCAATACTTAATTAAAGCTATGGAATAATAAAATAGAAAATAATTAAATTTTCTAAATTTTAAAACAACTCCAAATGATTCCAAATTAATATATGCTAAAGAATAAGTCAATGTCATTACATATATCAAGTTAAATACATAATTAAATCAATGGAACCATTAAATAAAAATTAATTAAGTCATTTAATTAAAATCTCTAGATTTCAAAACTCATCCAAATATTCTCAAATTAATATATGTCAAAAAACAAGTCAAGACCTAATTAAATATCATGTCTTAAGTTAATTCCACACTAGATACAACTATGTGAATTAAATTTCATACAAAGAATAATTAAATTAAATTCTAGATTTTATATAAAGACATGCATACAAGTTATATAAACCCCAAAAACTCATAAAACACTAAGGGTATAAACATGAAAACATTGCCTACCTCGATTTGAGATGAAAATCTCAAATGACACCAAAACAAAACCCTTCTAAATGCAGTGATACTTCGGGATTATGATGGGGACAATGAGGGGAACAACAAACCCTCTTACGGCAACACCAAAATTCAAACCCGAACTCAAAATTCGAACTCAAAAATGGTCGAAACCGGATTCTAGTTGGATGGAAATGAAGGCCTTCTCAAAACCAACAATAAAGCCTTCATCGGCGAGGAAAGAATCAGAGGCTAAGGAGGTTAAGTGGAGGAGAGAAGGTGAAAGGAAGAAGAAGAAAGAGAGGGGTGGCTGCCAACAATGGGGGAGAGAGAAAAATGTCTTAAATTTTCTCTCTCCTCCCCCTATGTATAGAATTTCCCAAAAAGTCCCTTGAACGAGCCCCGCGCGGTCCCGAAAAGTAAAAACAAACCACATGCGCTCAAACAGAAAAACATCGTGAACGAAAAAGAACTGACATGAGAAAAAATGAACAAAAAAAGAGACGGCGTCAAAAATTGAGTCCCGAGCAGAAAGATATACCCCAAACAAGTTCGGCAGCAACTGGGTTAAAAATCCTAAAACTAGAGAAAATGACTGGAAGACAATTCTAAGAGTACGCAACTCGACGAAATGTGAAAATGAATTCCGTACGAGGATCAAAGCCGAAAACAGGACACTTGACATTAACTTTCGTTAATTATACAAAGACCCCTCCACAAAAGGATAACTACACAAATGACCCAAAATGAAAATATCTTTCAAAAGATACTTTCTTAAAAACCCTTGAAATAAAATATCTTCAAAAAATATTTACGAAAAATGTCTCAAGAAAAGAAAATATTTCCAAAGAAACTCTGCATCCATACCCCTACGGACACAGTGAATAACCAGCGTGCTTTTCCACAAAAGTAAAGACATGCATTTCTTGGAAACCAAATGGAATGAAGGTACGCGAAGTCGGAAATCAAATCCGAGCACAAAAAGTGAGGTTATGCGAAAGGAAATGATAAACGGGAAAAAGACGAAAAAGAGAAATGTCGAAAAAAGTGCAGAGATGACACGGTTCTCACAAAACAAAGCAAAATCTCAATAGAGAAGAGTGTCGGAGACTATTTCCAAGCACTCAAGACAACACGAAGGGACAAAACTTGAACTCAGAAAAGAAAACATCAACAGAAAAAAAAATCCGTAAAAATGGGAAAAAAGAAAGGAAGGAAAATAATATGGTCATTACATAAATTATAAGGATCAAAGGCCAATGGATTCTATAATAGTGAAGGTTGTAATGTTTTTCAATATGTTCAAGAAGCCACAAATATTTTGTAATATATATAAGTATACTTTTGATTTTATCTAAATTTTGAAGTATTAAAAACATAAATTAGATTAAATATTATTAGATATAAAATTATATTAATGATCATGTGGTATAATTACGGACTTGACCCCTTATTGACGTCAGGGATGGTCGGAGTAATTGTGCCAAACCTCAAGGGAGGATGATCATACTTTTGCAAATAGTTTAAGGCATGGGTAATTAATTTGAATAAACCCTAGGAGAGAGGTCAGAGTAATTCACCCAAATTATTATGATTTTGTGACTTATGCTTTGTTTAGCTGGAGAGATGAAAAATATATGGAAGAGAGAAGAGGAGGGATAGATATCTATAGGAAAGTAATGTTTCTCCCTTATTTTTTATTTGGTTGAATGGAAATGATGGATGGGCTAACAATTTTTTTTATTTTTTATTTTTAATTGGAAGGAAGGGAATGAGAGTTTTTAAAAATTTTTTTTGTTCTATCTTTGATCTCTTCCGCCCAATTTTAAACGGATGAAAAAACATGGATTATGAAGGATGCTTTATCCCTCCCTTCCCTTTCTTCCAACCAAACACAAGAAACTTCTTTTATCCTTCCTTCCTTCCTTCCTACCATGATTTAATTTCAAAAGTCAATTCTTTGTTTTAATTAACTAAATTAATATTGTTATAATATAACCCAAACAAGTACATAGAAAAAAAAAAAAAAATATGCTATTGCTATTTATGTAATGTTTGTAGGGTTTTCTTTTGGATATACATGTATACGAGACAATGCATTCAAAATGAGTAACATATATATAATTGTCTTCTTTTAATACAAATAATATTAGTTGGTGTTTAAGACAACCAAATCCAAATTACAATTGTATATTTATTTAGTGGCCTAGTTGATAGCTTGTCTTCGAGTCCCCCTCTCCCAGTTTGCCGGACACAAAATAAAACAAAAATAAATCCAAATTACAATTAATTTTCTTTTAAAAGCTACATATAATTAGCTGTTTGAGACTTATCAAGACCTTTTTAAGCCCAGTGTAACAAGAATTACACCAAGATAATCATAATTGTAAGCTGACTTGAATAGCAATAATTTCTTATCATTCCATGGAGGAAATCTAAACCAAAACTCAGTTAGAAAACTTCTTCTCATAACTGCCTTCTCATGGGTAAAGGTATCGAAGGAGAATTTCCCATGATATCTGCCAAACCCACTCTCACCTACTCCTCCAAACGGGACAGTCTCTGCTGCATACTGCACAAATTTATAGCAAATTAAAAATATATATATATCCATTATTTGAACCCATATAATACCCATGTATGTATGTTATAATGCTTACTTATAACCAAGCTAGATAGCTCATGACCTTAGTTCTGCAAAAGTCATATTTTATAATTATCATGATCATATGAACATTAATCCAAATGGTTCCATATTTTCACTATTAATGGAAAACACACTTTAATCAAGTTATTTTACATTGACTCGCTTTACATTTCGGTGAGATTATGAAATGTAGAGGAGGTTTATGTGAGATATTTAATTTACAAGCCTTAGGTGAAATTTACCCTATTATTATTATTTTTAATCGTAAATAGAAATGCCGGCCATTTTCGTCTTGATGACTGCTTTAAAAGTTATAAATCAGTGAAACACTTGAATAATGTATAAGAAGAAGCAGGATTTATTTATTTTTTTCCTTTAACAACAACAACAACAACAACAAAGATGACGTACTTGAATAGTTGCGTCGTTGAATGTTAGGCCTCCTGATGATGTCTCGGATATCATCCTTCTCTTGAGTTTTTCATTATTGGTGTAGGCATATATAGTAAGTGCTTTAGGCCTTGACTTTATAAATTCAATGCTGTCTTCAATTTTATCCAACTGTTAAAAAGCAAGAAGGAATATTTGTGAACTACAAGTCCAATAGATAGACAACAAATAAATGGTCCACTATAAACACACACACACACACACATATATTTCTTACTGTAATTATTGGAAGCAATGGTCCAAAAATTTCTTCTGTCATTATTGCAGATTTGAGTGGGGGATCTACCAAGATTGTTGGCTCAATGAACCTGCATAATTAGTTGAGTTAAAATGAGGGTAGATTTCACTGGCTTTGAATTAGTCCAACATGATGATGTTACAAAATAGAATGGAATTTGAGCATATCAAAATTTAAATAACAAACAGATTCATTTACATGCTGTTAAAATAGTTTACACATTTCAAATCCTATGTAAACACTAGACTTATTCAATATTCCTCAATGTGCAGCTAAAAATTTCAAATACTCTGCGTAAAATTAAATGAAATATCAAAGAAAAAGAAATTCAAATATGGCTATATATTATATCTTTGCCTACCATCTTTTGCAGTTATTTTATTTTTTTTATTTTTTATATATCGAGTTCAAAATAGGGTTGAATGGTTGCCTGGTGTGTAATGTCCACTTAATAAAAATGCATTATATGTCAACATCTTTTACGCGTTGGCAAGACAGATTTCTCATTAATAATATCTTTTCAACCGTCCATGAGAAGTGAGAGTTCCAATCCCCACACGAGCAAATTAATGGTTGTGTGACTTACCCAAAAAAGTTAATAGTTGTGTGAATTTCTTGGCAAAAGAAAGAAAAAGAAAAAGAATGAAACATGTCACTTACAAGTTATCTTCGTCTAATGACCCACCATAGACAATAGAAGCATTGACCATACTGCTATCTAATAGTTGTTTCAATCTTAAGAAATGTTGTTTGTTGATAATCCTTGCAACACTATTTGTTTCTTTTGGATTTTCTCCAAACATCTTCTTGATCAAGATTTTCATTTCTTCAACCTGAACAAAGCATAAAATACAATTATCATGCTAAAACATTAGGTTTAAAACTTGGCACAAAATACAACTTGTAATATATACACTGATATACACACACACACACATATTTATATATCATACCAAAGTAGATGTGAATTCCTTTTCTACAAGGATATAATCAATTCCTATGCAAACTTGACCTGCGCAAGTCCCGAATTTACCACCAAGAATTCGCTTAATTGCCACCTAAGAATAGATTAGAACAAAAGAAGTCTCAGTAAGCAACTTAATTAATTGTTATGAAATGGTGTCCCTACTAGTTAGCTACTGTTGCAATTGTAAAAATAAAAAATAAAAAAAATAGGGTTACATCTATAGAGCTGCTGAGAATATTTTTTTTTTTTTTTTTTTTTAGATTAACTTGGGTATCCAAAGCTTTGTCTCCATAAATTTCAAATTTAATTACAATGGAAAGTTAAAAAATCACATGGCTACTTACTTAAAAGTAAAATTACGAATATACCCCTACAAAAAAAATTCAATAGTGAAAACATCAATACTAACCTACGATTTAATGTTTTATGTTCAACTAAATAAATCATTGTATATAACTTGATATATATAGCAAAACACACACACACACACACACACACATATATATATGTGTGTATTGGCTTGGGATTTCTTACTTAGTAAGGATAGTCCCTGGGTCCCTTGGTTTCAACATAGGTATACAACAAGTTCTACTTATTGGAATGCAGTTTCTAAGATTTCTCATTCAATCTTGTGGAAGAACTTGGTTAATGTTAGAGATATAATGCTGAATTCAACTCAATATTCAATTGGTTCTGGGCAGTTGTTCAAAGTACTAACAGATCCTTGGTGTGAGGGTGAGACTTTATTGCAGAAGTTTGGGCATAGAACAGTCAGAAGGCTGGGGTTTTCTTGGTCTTGATCACCACTGTCTAATCTTATGATTGATGGTGGATGGAATTTTGAGCTTTTGCAAGATGATTTCTTCAGACCTATTAGAGAATATTTGGGTACACTGCCTATTCATGCTAGATCAGATAGGTTACTTTGGGATGGAGGTATCTTTGTTTTCAAAAATGCTTGGCAGGGTTGCAGGGATATAAATCCAGAGGTTAATTGGTCAAACTTTTGCTGGGGAAAAGGTAGGCCACGTTGGTCAGTTCATGGAGTCTTTTTATTTCAAGACAGACTGCCTTCTATGTATAATTTGCAGAGAAGGAAAGTGCAGCTGGCTCCGAGATGTTCTTACTGTCTTCAGGAGATAGACACAAGGAATCATGTGTTTGTTCAATGTCCTTTTTCAAAGAATTTGTGGAAATGGTTGGAAGACACACTTGGTTGGAGGATTGACTTAAGTTTAATGAACACAGTTGAAGATTTGCTAATATGGTTTTCACAGCAGAGCAGTAAAATGATTCATACATTACTAGTTGCTGGTTTTTGGAGTATTTGGCAAGAGAGAAATCGTAGGCTTCATGATCATAGTTCTAGATCAACCTCTGAGGTGGCTTGACAAATTTTGCTTGGAGTTCTAGATGTTTATAATGTCTCTCTAAGAGACATTATTTAGATTGTCGTTTTTTTATTTGCATTTCTTTTCATTTACTGAAATTGGTTCTTGTCATTTTTCAGTAAAATGATGAAGAAATGTCTTCTATGCGCCTGTAAATATAATTTTTCTTTTTTATACAAAACCCAATTATGAAACAAAAAATTATATATATATATATATATGTTTACCTCTCTATCCCAAGAACTGGAGAGGGAATCCACAACAGCAGGGCACTTTCCACCCAACTCCAAAGTGACAGGGGTTAGATAGTTGGCAGCCGCAGACATGACAATGCGTCCCACACGTGCGCTACCTGTAAATGAATGAATAGAACAAGTTAACAAATTGAACTGATCAAACATATACAAACTGATGAGAGGAAAGAGCTTTAATTGGTTCAGCTTTTTAATTAAAAAGAACAAGTTTCGGAACTGTCAATCAAATATATTTTTGTATATCTTGTATCTGAAGCACTGGTGGTTCACTTTTGATGTAGACATTCCTATTTGGACATCTTGTTACTGAATTTATGATCTTAATTTCATGATATGGATATTGGCATGAATTGATTGAAACTTTAGCATGGGCTCACGAGCGGTCCACCAAACATGCCCAAAATTATGAAAGTGCGTATAATTAAGCTGAAAAATTATACATATATATATACCTGTAAAGAAAATCTTGTCCCATTTGTGTTGCAAGAGTTGTTCGCCAACAACATGACCACCTTGGATGACTTTCACAGCTTGGTTGTCTAGGTAAGTGTGAATAGTATTTGCTAGAACTGATGAACATGCCGGAGCTAGCTCTGAAGGTTTTAGAACCACCACATTTCCTGCAGCTATTGCTCCAATCAATGGTTCCAAGGATAATCCTACACACACACACACACACATATATATATATATAACAAGTGAATAACATATTAATAAAATAAAAAAATAGCTTCAATAATTATATATATAGATATATATATATATATATATATATGCATATGGCACTCTCAACTATATGTATATCTATTGGCTTTGATGTATCAAAAGTCACTTTCTTACCAAAGGGGAAATTCCAAGACGAGAAAACAAGGACAAGGCCAAGAGGCTCAGGAACCAATTCTGCTGTAGTAGGAAATGCTGCTAGAGGTAATTTAGCCTGTAAACCAATAATATACATGATGATTAAAAATCAAAATAGATAATCAGATTTGGTTCAAAATGTATTTCTTTTTGGATTATGAAAAATCAACTCACCCGCTAGTCATTTTGGATTATCAAGTGGTTTGTAAACTCCAAATACACACAACATGAATATTTTCTAGAAGAATAACATATAATTAAAAGAAAAAAAAGCTTACCTTTTTGCTTGACATCCATTCTTTTAAGCATCCCAAGGCATAATTTACAGATTTTGTCAATGTCCCAATCTGCAGAAATTCACATATATAAAATTATGAGAAAGAAATAATTATAGTACCGACATGCCATGGTAAGCTTTCTTTGGCACAATCAGATCAAAATGTAGATGTCTCAATGTGCTCAACAATTAATGCCTTGTTTCTTAGTACAGTCTCAGCCATGGACTTGGCCCCGCCGAAAACTGTTAGTAGAAGTTTGAGAGTTTTGAGTCTCAATGAAACAAATATAGTATCAGTGCATGTTTCTGACTTATCTACCAAAATATATATATATAATTCTCTTACCTCATCTCTGTAGGCCTCAGCAGGATGTTTCCCAATATCTTGATGAAGAGCCTTGAAGATATCATCTTCTCTTTCCTTGAGGAGAGTGAACAAAGCTTCAAGCTGTGACCTCCTCCATGATGCTTCTTTTGTCTTCCCAGACCTAAAAGTCTCTCTCAACACCTCTAATTCTGTCTCAAAATCTTTCACACCTTCCATTGATGAAGAATAATAGTACAGTATGTTTTACTTTATCAAGCAATCTTAGTGGTCCAATATATATATATATATATTCCTACTACTACTAGTATTATCATGTTTGTTCAACTGTCTCTTTATTTGCTAGTTGGGGTTCATAATGGTGCTTACCAAACACAGCGATTCAATAAAAACATAAACTCTTGTTTTGATTATTATTATTATTATTATTATTATTATTATTCTTATTATTTGCCAAAAGTGATATTTGCACGTAGATTTTATTCTGTTATGTATACTTTATTTGATTTTTTTAAAGAAGATTTTTGTTGTGAACTCTAATAATATAAAATAAAAATGAAAAGATAATAAATATGGTGCAATGTTTTTTTTTTTTTTGCCCCATTTGAACTAATTATAGTGGATATGTGTAATCACTCGCAAATTACACATATCTTTTAAATTAGAGTGTTTTTATACCTTATAAGAGTCAAACTTACAACCTCCGAATTTACAACTCGTCTCTTGAAAATCCCTTAACCACCGGATCACCCGTGCGGTTAAACATTTCTAATTTCTAGCATTGTGTTTGTGTGTCTCTTTTATTTTTTTCCTCCTTATATTTGCGTTAATCTTGTGACGATGTTACTTAACCTCTCTTTTATGTATTTGTTTGATGTTATTCACTTTATATTAAAAATTTAGACTTTTATAACAAATATTTTTATTTTTATTATTTTATCTTGGCAAAAATTCGCACTCATTTGTATTGGAAAATTCTTGAATATCCTGGGGTATGGTATTTTTAGGAATTCCGGACGTTAGATATGATGGTGAACCCACTTATTGGATGATTCAACAACTAAAAGATCCTGAGAGTACAATATTCCATAGAATTGTAGAACTTCTCCATTTGTGTGAACCTCAACATTTTATTTTGAACGACGAAAAAATACCATCGGTGATACAACTGGATAGCAAACTTAATTTGATACAAGTAACACGTATCATTATTTTATATTCTCTTTGTCCCAAAAAAAAAAAAAAAAAAAGTTTAACAGAAGAAAGAAGATGGACAGAACTAGGATGGCTTCGACTGAAAACGTGAGTATATTATATTTATAGATTTTTGCATATTTACAAAACAGAAAGTTTCCAAATGTTTCTCCTAAGATTGCTCTCTAACAGCCGCTAGTCAACATTTCCAAACATAAGAAATCCTAATAAACTTGATTTTAGTAATTAATTAATCATTTTAAGTATTTCTCTTACATAATGTATGTGGGCATTTAGCATATTAGTGGGTAGTAAATTATCTTAATGAGAATTAGTATATGAGAGTTAGTGTGATGATGAAGGTTATGTAAAACCAAGGGTCATATATGAGAATTAAGTCTAAATGGTTATGTTAGTAGGAATTAAATCTCCTAAATACCATGTTATTGGGGGTAGTGGGAGTTAAGTCTAAAAGTTATGTTTGTGTGAGTAATTGAGTACTTAAATGTAATTGTTACACCTATGTTCATGTGACCTATATATTCATGTACTTTAGTCACAAGGCTGAAGCCTCACTGTAAAGATCAAAAAGTCCGCTATTGATCCTTTGTCTTCCCATAATAGTAGAAATGGAATAAAATAATTTTTCAAGTATTCCTCCATATCATTCTCTTCCAAAATATTATTGAGTGTTTTGTGTATTTAGGCCACTATTTCCAACAACATGGTATCAGTGCAAAGTCAGAAAGTGGAATCAAAGCAAAAGCCAACAAAGTGGTATTAGAGCCAGGTTCCATATTAGAGCCAGATTTCATGTTCAGAGACTAGACGATCCTAAAGGCCTGACGAAGTTGATCCTAGATGGTTCAACATTTTAAGGAAAACATGTTTCTCCTTGATGATGATGAATAGAGGAAAATGTATTTTCTAAGTGAGAAGATGATGTTCTCTAATTACAAGAGCATGAGAATCATCATGACTTCATACCTCAAAGCATGTGATTTGTGGGATGTTGTTGGAGAAGAGCCAAAGAATGGCATGTCCAACAAGCTTCATGAAAAGAACGAAGATAAGGCATTGGTAGTGTTGCAAAAGGCAATACATCAAGAAATTTGGAAGTATTTTGGAGAGTCAAATACTCCAAGTTGTAATTGGAAAATGCTCGAGACCATCGTTTCTAATCATAGAAGTGAATCACTACCCATGGAGTATTGGGTACAATGTTTTGAGGATGATGAGTTTATGAAAACTGATTATGAAAGTTTTGAGCACAAATTTGTGGAGAATGAAGAGGCGTATAATGCAAATCAAGTTAAAGAATTTGAAGAACAGCTTAAAATGGTGAAGGAGGAAGAGGTAAAGAAATGTATGGAAGAAGCGATTAAAAAAGTGGAGGATAATGAAGTTAAAAGAGAAGATAAAGGAGAAGAAAGTGCTAAAGAAGATGCAAAAGTTGATGAAATTGGTGAGTTAACAATTTCAGGTATGGTTCCTGTAACAACCCGCTCCACCACATGGTATGATATTGTCCGCTTTGGGCCTGAGCCCGCACGGTTTTGCTCTTGGGCTTCACCCCAAAAGGCATCATACCAATTGGAGATGATGCACTTACATATAAGCACTTCACCTTTCCTCTACCCAGGCGATGTGGGACTTGTGCACCCGTAGCTTGCCAGTGTGGTAGCCTGACAGTGTCTCTTGCACCCGCCCACAGCACACCCGCCCACAAGGTCATCACAATCCACCCCCCTTAGAGGCCCGACGTCCCCGTCGGCACACTTCCGGCTGGGTTAGGCTCTGATACCATTTGTAACGACCCGCTCCACCACATAGTATGATATTGTCCGCTTTGGGCCTGAGCCCGCACGGTTTTGCTCTTGGGCTTCACCCCAAAAGGCCTCATACCAATTGGAGATTATGCACTTACATATAAGCACTTCACCTTTCCTCTACCCAGGCGATGTGGGACTTGTGCACCCGTAGCTCGCCAGTGTGGTAACCTGACAGTGTCTCTCGCACCTGCCCACAGCACACCCGCCCACAAGGTCATCACAGTTCCAAATTCCAATTTCAAAGAAGTTAGATATAACTTATTTGATAAAATTTTGATTTCTTCATATTTATCTCAATTGGAAAACAAAATCAAATATTATGATAATTATGTTCATGTTGTGGAGAATGATGAACTTTTCTTGGAGAAAGTTGTTCCAAAGAAATATGAGATTTAAGCTCAAGAGGATAAGAAATTCTCAAATTATATTTTAAAAGATGGTTTGGAGAATTTTGTAATTGACACAGGTTGGGTGAATATGGAATTATTTTTTGATTCCAAAAAAAGAAGCACCTAAGAAGTTCAAGAAGTTTCAAGAATTCAAGAAGAGAGAAAAATGATGGTGCACCCATGTGAAGAAGATAAATGTTGATCAAAAGAGGGCATTATTCAAGCATTTGAAGAAGTTTCACAAGCCCTACACATCAATGGAAATGGCCAAGAAAATTGAAGCTATTAAAGGAAGTAGAATTAAAGATCAACTATCGAACTTTTGATCAAGCCCCCAAGATTAATAAGAAGTTTTTTTTCAAGTTACAAAATCAAGTTTAAAGGAGGGTGTTGAAAAATAAACTTGATTTTAGTATTTAATTAATCATTTTAAGTATTTGTCTTACATAATATATGTGGGCATTTAGCAAGTTAGTGGGTAGTAAATTATCTTAATGAGAATTAGTATATGAGAGTTAGTATGATGGTGAAGGTTATGTAAAACCAAGGGTCATATATGAGAGTTAAGTCTAAATGGTTATGTTAGTGGGAATTAAACCTCCTAAATACCATGTTAGTGGGGGTAGTGGGAGTTAAGCCTAAAAGTTATATTAGTGTGAGTAATTGGGCACTTAAATGTAATTGTTACACCTATGTTCACGTGGCCTATATATTCATGTACTCTAGTCAAATAATAGTAGAAGTGGAATAAAATAATTTTTCAAGTATTCCTCCATATCATTCTTTTCCAAAATAGTATTGAGTGTTTTGTATATCTAGGCCACTATTTCTAACAAAGTGGTATCAGAGCAAAGTCAGAAAGTGGTATCAGAGCAAAAGCCAACATATCTTTCTTCAACTTGGTTCTGGCACTTATTATTCGTGAGTTGTATGTTTAACACTCTGTACACACAAATTTTGTAAGTCTGCAATAGAAACAAAATATGGAGCAAATAGAATTTTATTATTTATGAATGTGGAGTACAGTCCTTTGTAATATCTTTTACAAAAAAAGAATGGTCCTCTGATTCAATCTCCTTGTTTTTGGTTGGTTGGATCCAAGGACTGCACGAGCTTGTTCTTGAATCACTGTGAAATTTGATGAAGAACGGCACGTTGTTGGATGTGCTTAATGTTCTTCGCTTTTGGGTTTCGATTCTGAATTTGTGTCTGAATTCTGAGTCTCTGGATTTCTGAGTCTCTGAACTTCTGAATTCTGAATTTGTGTCTGAATTTGTAGACTTCTGAATTCTGAATCCTCTCCCCTTTTTCTTCCTCCAGGCCTCTATTTATAGGCTTCTTAGATTAATAGGATGATGACATGTGTCATCTCCTGATAAGGATAAAACTATAACTGGGCCGGGCCGGTTATATTGTGATAATTATCCTTAAAGATAATTATTCAAAATATATTTTATTAGGAATAATTATCGTTTCATTTAATTATCTGGGCTGGGCTAATTAAATAATTTAAGTGGACCAAGCTTGGTAAATTAAATAATTTATTTAAACATTAGGCCTATATTTAATGGGTCCATTCATTAAAACCAAAGCCCACTAAATTTTAGTGTCTACAAATTGCCCCCACTTCAAGTCCCAATTTTGACAAGATTTGTCTCTTTTTCCAAGTGGGACTTGAAGTTTCCTTTTTTTTTTTTGTTTCATCTTAATTGTTCTTTCCTATTTAAATTGAATTGTCCAAATCCCAATACAACTTGGAGGTATCTTGTTGCCTATATATACCCTCAATATTGTAGGGTTTGATATCAATTCCAAAAAAAAAAAAAAATCTCTGAAGACTTGTCAGATCACAAATAATTG